TCTACTCTACTTGTAAAGTTTCAGTAACAAAATGAGATAATAATTATACTAATTAAACCGTGTACCACCCGTGGTACACGTCGACCTGTGATCATATCATCATGTCGAAAACATAAGTACATTCCATGAAGTAAAACATGGTTTTTAGTTCAATTTTTGGTATTTAAACAAGATTTTTTGTTGAAATAAATAACAAATATTTTGGTAACTTTGGGTTTTATTATTAGGCTAATGTAACATGAATTTAGTTCATGTACCACCCGTGGGTGGATACGTTTCATGTGGCTTCTACAAACACGAGTGCATAGTAGAAACACTCACAAAGGCCCGGAAATGCTGTTTTTAACCGACTTCCCCACTACCAACAAAAGGAGGAGGTTCTAAATTTGTTTGTGGCAATGTTTTTTTTTTTTTATGTATGTTTACCAATTTCTCAGTGATTCTTTTACCGATCAGTGTGGTTCCACCACCAAAATAACCAGGAGAGTTTCTATTTGGTACAATATATAGCATTAGGTTTAAGTATAATATTTGTTTCGGTGAAAAATGTTGAAAACCTCAAATATCCAACATTTATTTTGTTTATATTTGTGCAGAGAAGGCAATAAATAATAATAATATTCCTACAGCTGTTAGTTATTGATTAATAAACAAATAATGTTTCTATTTGTTATTAAGTTTTAAAATCTAAAAAAAATATTACTGTAGTAACATATCAACTACGGTGGATTGAGTATTATTGGCCTAAGAGACATCTAGCGGACACAAGATGAACTGTCGCAAGCCTGGACGGTAGTTACATCTAGCAGTGATTGACTGAACTAATCTACAAACACATTGTACACCCGATGTAGCAAACCTTATGCGATTTTCATGGATTTTTACCAAACTAGTGTCACGTTTATAGCCTACTAGCTTGTACCCGCGGCTTCGCCTGCATTGGTGTAACCATAAATATTATACATGTTAAGAAATAAACATGTATTTTTGTTTAAGATGAGCCTGTAATAACTGTGTGTAATGTATATTTAAATCGTGTATGTTTGCTTGGAAATAACAAACCTGGCCTTAAATCGTCGCTTTATCTTTGAACTTCTGTTATCTAACATTCCAGTTCTGTTCTAAGTCTGTCTGGCCTATTAATGACATGGACTCTCAACTTTCACTAGCCCACCTCAAATATCAAAACTTTGCTGAACAACTTAAATTCTAAACACAACTTAAATTAAGGTGATGAGTTACAACTAAAATATGTCAGACTACGCTTTAAAATACTATTTTAATCATTAATTAATTCACTGCAGTACCCTTTCGGCTGTAAAAATTATGAAATAAAAATTTTTGGGGATATTTATGACTTTTTGGGGTTGGGGAGGTGACATACAAATGAATTTAAAATTCCCCCCAATTTTGAATTTTGATTTTTTGGTCGTGGCCTGTAAACTATACTGATGTGCACTTTGACTCCTAATATTTTGCTTTCGGTAATAAAAATATTCATCAAACACTCATTCGGCCTGTCGTCGAGGTATATTTAGTTTAATTACTGCCTTTCAGACTTGATGTCGAACTCGTGAGTGATTACATAAATGCATTTAAACATATTTATCAACTTGGTTTGGTAAAATATTAATAAAAAACATCAAGGTTCTCCTAATTCTACTTTGAAATTAAAACATTCTCATTAAAATTGATTTTTAAATTTTCCTTGGAAATAAAATAAATTGAATGATATTGATTCACATTTCATGACGTGCCTAGCTATGCATGCTCGTGCGTTCCAGGCCGCCACGTGGTGCCGACCTGTAACCTGTCGATTTCCTGTCTGAACAAAGCACCTAGCTGGTCTGAGACACGTTTTAATCTATTCTATTTCTGTTAAAATTGCATTTTTGGCCGGATCTTGACGCTCTGCTACCACTATGTGATGATGTGGAGTAGTATGAGTGTAAATGAAGATACCTGGGCCCTATATATCTTCCTCTAGCCACTGCCAAATCACCCACATTTCCTGTCGTAACCCAACTCTATTGCAAGAATTAATCTAACTCGTCAAAGTGCACAATATTACCTTAGCTGCCTATCACAGCCAGCTTTTATGTTCGTAATGTATCTAATTATAATATAATGAACAGAGAAATATATATATATGGACTTATTCTAATTTGTGAAAAAGGTTACTAGACTTAGCAAATGTGAATTCTAATTTACGATATTAATTGCCAGACCACGACCCTTCGAGAACCTAATAAACTACATGATTGAATTACTTTTTGCCCCAACCTACACCCTTTCCCCAACCCCTACTTCTATTAGCTAGACATCTTAGGCTACAGTCTACTTATCCGATCAGATGTACAGCTCCAGGCGCTCGACACTACACTGAACTCGTCTCTTGGTTCGCTGCGCGTGCCTACCCGGGTCGACTGCGCGCGCATCGTGGTCACGTGACTTGCGTTATTGTAGCGGTCCGCTACATCTGGCTATAAACTATCTGGAGTTTACACGTCAAGCTTGTATATAGCCGAGGAGTTCCTTATAAAGCGATATAGTTCAGCTAACTTAACTGAGTAGATTGCAGTTATTGTTTATGGATGAACAAAACGAACGAAAGTATAACACAACCTTCCGTTTAGCACAAGAGATTTGAAGGGGTTTTGTCAGTACAGCAGTCTTACCTGAATGGGGAATAATCCACCCTGGTACTTAAGAAGCACTGCATGACATCTAAGTGCCACAACGTGCAATGATTTAAGTCAGTGTCACGACGTCCAAAATGTAATTTTTGAGCCGTTTCTCAATGTCCAATTAAAAATATTTGACTGTTGCATGACGTCCAAATCTCTTCATGTCCAAAAATACAGTAATTGCAATTAACCTAGTCTTTTACAAGCTTTGGACGTCATGGGATTGGTTGTCGTGAAACAGCCCACTGTACATTTTAAAAAAAAGTAGCAGTTGCACCATGTCCAAAGTCGCTGCCAGTTTCACGACGTCCAATAGCTCAGCGTGGCCCACGACATCCAAGAGCGCCTGCACACTACTATTTTACCGTCTTTAGTACATACAATTTGACCTAACCTAATCTAACCTTGATCCGTATGCAGGAGCTTTGGACGTGGTGCTACTGCTAAGTTTTAAAGAGTATAAAGTTTGCTGTTGCACAACGACCAATTCCATGATGTCCAAAGCTTGTAGAAAGACTTTCTTGCAGTTACTGTACTTTTGGACATGATGAGATTAGGTCAACGTGCAATGTAAAATAGTTTATATCGGACGTGGTAACACAGCTAAAATATTCTTTTTTGTACGTTATGACACTGACTAATATCATTCATTGGCTACATATTTTCAAACAGGTAGGCTTAAGGTTTGAGATGAAATCAGAGATCAACAGAAAGAGGTCTCTTCCAAAAATAAGCATAAACAAAAAGTAAATGGTAAGAAATGTTTTGTAGTTCTTTATGTTTGATAATTTAAAACCCCTAATGTCGCTGAAACTGGCATTCTTGGCTTATGGCTCATGTTGTTGCACGGTGGATGTATAATGGAGTAAAGGACAAAAGATCAGTTTTGTATTCATGATATCTTGATCGAGTATTAATCTATATGCCCTTGGACTATAATTCTCTTAGGTTTCCTGCTCAACTTGAATTGATCACTTTTCAAAAACATCCCGAATCAGCCTTAAGACAAACCCTTCAGAAAGCAGATATGTTTTGTTTGCTATCGGTAAATATTACCAATATAAAAACAGTATTGATATGTCTTTATTTTATAAACTTATGTTTTCCCGTATTTCTATAAAAAATAGGTATATTTTAAAGTAGATTGTTAGGATTAGTACTGAAAAAGTTTTTAAAATTGTACGATAAAGTATTAGTAAATCTTTTTAATAAAAGCATTAAAATAGTAACAATTATCAAAATCATCACTTGGTTGTATAATTATGTTGTTACAGTTGTATAATGAACTAGCTTACAGTTGTTTACCAGAATTTGCCCTCTCAGCCAAATAATAGGCCGATAAGCTTGACCAGGCTTCAACAGAGATTACTTAATGTTGTCTGTTTATCAAAAAAACCTCCTAAATTTTTTTTTGGAAGACCACTAGTCAAGTTATGAATTGATTTCAAAATATATGACTAGTGTCAATAAAAAATCTACATAATTAACACGTTCGCTGCAGCCCATCAAATGGCAGGCGTAGCCCCAGTGCGGCGCAGCCCGCAGCGTCGAACAAACTCAATTGCCGGGCTATTGGCTTTCATATTTCGGTATGACGAATATCAAATAACGTGTGGTGATGTCCTGTTTTATGACAAGAGTCGACGTAGTTTGCTAAACACTCACAGTAGATGCCATTATTTTACAATAAAACAAAATTAATATAGCATAAAATTACAGTTAACAAACCTAATGAGTGAGTCAAAATCCACCAGGTATAGTTTCGGAACGAGTAACGATAATTACAAATGGATTGCACCACAAAACTGCCAATGTCATACACGAAGCACGGACAAAAATACTCCGACCTACACCGGAGTGCGGCTGCACTCAAACGGAATAAGTTTGGTGGGTGCACATTACCGCCCGGGCGGCGCGGCGCAGCGTGGCAGAGCGCGGAGCTACCGCCCGGGCGGTAACCCGCAGCGAACGTGTTAAAACCATAACAAAACATTCAAATGTAATTAGTTACTGCTTTAAAAGTGTGACTCAGTAAAGAGTCTTCATCACTCTTAAGTGAAGTCTGGTTCGGTCTTCGTTAGAAAGAGCGCACTCCTTATTGGGAACTGAACATGCCTTTTCAGTACCGAATAAAAATGAGTCATAGAGTCATAGCTATGAGATGAGAATTCACTTGCTTTTAAATCTGTCATCCAGTCTTTGGCGAACAACTTATACTAACCATACAACCAAAACATAACTTATGTTGAGAAGTATTTTTTGTAAGACTACAGTTATACGCTGACATTTTTCTTTTACTTGTTACAGCAATTTCAGTCACTACTCTTCCAGATTCTCAATGCCGAACACGAAAGACAACTTGTTCTACAGCTTCAACTTAGGCCCGGCTCACTTCATAGGGTTTTCAACAGAGGTGTACTACTTCCTAGGTTACGGCATCAAACAGGTGGTTCTGCAATATGAGTGGTTGGAGAATGATTTGAAGGTATGAAAATGTACATCAAGGATAAAAAAATAAACTGTATCAGCAAACTGACACATACTTTCTCCCATTAGCTCGTACATTGACATGGTGGGGTGGAAGCTGTGTCTAGAAAATTACTCTAGTCTAGATGAATAAAGCAAGAAGACATCTTAGTACTGGCCTGAGGATGGCTTGTATTTGAGTTGAAACTAGCTGCCTTACCGCAACTCATCAGATGGTATAGATGCAGTTGTTTAACACTAATTTATAGTAAACACTAAAAATAAGTAGTCTTTCTAAAAAATCAACAGAACTATCCACCTCCTGTCCACAATATCTACACCAATTATGCAGATGTATAAGTTACCCATCAAAAAAGAATGAAATATACTGTCCACACTTGTTTATACCACAATTTAAACAGACTTTGTTGTCTGTTCTACGTTACTGTTGGTATTTATGCAATGTGAAAAATACATTTGTGACTAGAACCAGAAGACAATTAGTCAGCCTTCTACATATTTCAGAGGTGATACCAAAATGTTAAGACTGTTTTGGCCCGGTAAATCAAAATAGACCCTTTTTCAATTTTCAGGAAGCCACAAAACCAGAGAACAGAGCTAAGCATCCATGGATCATCACGTTTGCCCATCGACCCATGTACTGCTCTGATGACGACGGAGACGACTGCCTAAACTACGAATCTCTTGTTCGTTCAGGATTGCCAATCGTCAAATGGTTTGTTGCTCAAATTGTTTTTTGGGTTCATTTCCTAGTTATAAGGACTCCTCCTTATGAGTCAGTTACTAAAATGACTATCCCTAAGTGCTTTTTGTATGGGATCTACTAGTGAAAAATCTGTAACCTTTCTTTAAAGGTACTTGACACGTTTGCTTCATTGTCGATTATATTAAGTCACAGTGGACTCTTAACTATTGTGAAGAGGTCTGTGTTAGATTGATGTCCACAAGCTCAGTTTTTCATGGAAAAAGGCAGAACATTTCTCAATGTCAAAATATGAATGTTCTGTTTTGACTTTTTTAACCCTCCCAGTGTTACTTGACGAAAATTCGACAAGCAGCACACTTTGTGTAGTGTTACTTGTCGATTTTTCGACACGCAGACATCGTTTACGGCGAAGGCTCTATGACTGACTGAATCGGATTGAACTGGATCGAGTTAGGTATCGTTCTTTCCGTAATATTCTAAGCTTTCTCCAGAGGTCTGTCTCAGCGCTGTACGTTCTCTGAGCCGATCGTAATTGTAGCAGACAGCTGACGTGCGTGTATTTGTAAACAGCTAGGTTACCCTTGGACCGATGACTGATGTGTTTTATTACGTTTATCATTGTTTTAGTGTTAAAAATCAAAAGTAGTGATATACGTGTTGCATTATAAGAAGATTTAAGTGGTTTTGAAGTGCTGGTTGATGATCCTAAAGAAGTAGGTAGTAATATTGATGTAAATTATCAGCCAGATTCCTAGCTATGGTTAGGCTATGCATTCTTAGCTAAACGCTATGTACTGAAATCTGTTTTTTGCCCATAACTTATTTATTTGCAATTGCAAATCTACTTCCTTATATTATTATATATTTGTAATCCTCATAAAATTTAGAACAAAGTGGCTATTTTCAAATATTTGTAGGCCTATAATTTATACAATTTCATTGAGCGCGAACTTATTATTTTTTTTTTATTTTCGAAATTATATTTTTTTTCCTAAAAATTTTTTTTTTGAAAAAATGTTCCTTATGTTTTATATATAATATTGAAGCCCATGATTTTCCAAACAAAATGGTATATAGAACATTAGAATTAACATTGTTTTAAGCTTCTCAGATCCGTTTTAATAAAACCTTGCAAATGCGCCAAAAATAGGTGGACATTAAGGCCTAAACTATGGACACTTGGAGGGTTAAAGTCTTATGACTATTTTAAAACATGAAGAATAAAAAGCAATGGTGAAAAAATAGTTTTATTCTAGTGATTAAATTATTTTATAAAAGAACACACCTATTTGGGATTTGTTAAACCAAGCGAAATTAGGACCACATCCCGTCTTCCATTCCGCCTGGCGGGGTACGGCCCTTGAGGGAACCATTCCAGCATTCGCCTGAGTGAGGAAAGAAACCGTACAAACTTGCCTCAGAATGGTCGGCCTGATAGTCAGACCTCCCGAATGTGGCGCAGCATCATTGTTATGATGCTACCTCACTCGGTCAGATTAGTATCAATTAATGCAATACATTATAACTTCTACTACTACTTACATAAGATCATTATCCTAAGTACAATAGATACTTAATACTAGATAATTGACATACCTATCACGATACCTTTACACACTTACTACTATAACAAAAGTCTGTTATAACTCAAAATGTAGTTACGCCTTCTTTCCTTTTCCTCTTTTCTGTCTCAACTCATCTTTAATCGGCTCACAGTGTTACCTTTGACATGTTACTGTAGAATTCTTCAGTTTCTTCCTCTAAGTTTCCCAGATATTACATATCCCCATCCATTGTCTCATTCATCTCCAACATTTCATCATGTTCATCCAACATTTTTCTATATAAGATCCGTCAGCACTTTACCCTGAGCAATCCTTTGAATCCTTCTTGATTTTCTGAAGCAATGCAACATCGTGTCTTTGTTTATCTGGTGTTCTACAACCTTCCTTTTTTCCCAGTTGCCCTTATTTCATTGCTTACAATATTGATCCTCTGCAAGCTCAATAGTGACAAAAATTGAATAATTCTGCCAAGCTTTTTGCCGAGGTTTCGTCTTTCAAAACTGCTCTACTTTGTACCCTCTTGAATGGAGCAGACACTTAGCTTTTTTCTTGAGTCTGTACTATTCTTCAAAATAATTTCTACAGGAGGAAAAATTGCATCTTGTATTCATTTATTGAGTCAGTGAATGAATTAAATAAATTGTATCCATGGAAACATATTTATGTCAACATGCCAAGCCTTCCCATCTTTCCACGGTGGATATTTTGAAATTCTCAGATGGGATCATTGTGTGTGATTCTAGTGTGCCCCAAATCCCATTCAAACCTTTGCAGTAGGGATGGTCAAGTCTCGAAATTTCGGGAAATTTTAAATCTCGTTACACGAGACGAGAGTTCTTTTTGCCCGAGATTTTTATCGAGACAATAAAAAAAAATTAAAAACGCCTGCAGAAAGTCAATCCAATACCCGCAATACAGGAGCGTGTTGTAGTGTTGCATTTCCTTTGCGAAGGCGTTCTTATTTAATTAATTCTTAAAATGTAAATATTACTATATAACTATTTTAATAATATTACTTTAATAACATTTGAGAAGTTTTGTTAAGTGTAAGCATCGTGCAAGTGTGAGGAATGTTTTATTACTATAAAAAGTCAAAACAAGTAACTATTTTATAAAAATTAATATTGCTTTTATTTTATGATTTATTTTATTTTAGGATAAGTTGAACTCTATGCTAACTGCTATCACTATGTTTCCTAATGGTAGGCATTTTTAATAAGTTAGGCGTGATTAATAAAAAAATGTTATGCTGATGTTTTTTTTAATAAAAGATTGTAAATAATCTTGCCTATTATCATTATTTTTGTATTTAAACAGTCATCTAACAATATTACAAAATCAGGTAAAAATTTTGAACATGCATTTCCCGTTGTGCATGAGAAGGGAAATCCCGTCTCGATCTCGTCTCGAAATTTTATGAGAAATAAAAAATCTCGTCTCGTCTCGAACTAAAAATCCAATCTCGTCCATCCCTACTTTGCAGGGTTAAAATGAGAAAGCTATAGACTTTTAAACCACGGGAAACCCGGATTTAAGCCATGAATTTCAAATTTAAGCAAAAAAAGAAACAATTCGCTATTTCCAATTCCTGGTAAATTGATAATTGGAATGCCATTGAAGCTGTTAATACCAGTATATAAAAGAAATTCTTATTGATCACCTTTACTGTATGACTTTCAATTCAATTCCCAAAATTTCAACGGAAAACCCTGATTTTAAGTCAAGAATTTCACAGTAAAATTAAAAAAAAGGAATAGGAAGGGCCAATTCCAATTTTTTGAAATTGAGAATTGGAATTTCATTAAAAATTTTAATACTAGTGGTATCAAAACATTTTTTGTTGATTCCCTATACTGTATGACTTTCAATTCAATAATGATACCTACATTTCATATCAAATCATTTCTACCCTTTTCAGTCACAAAAACTTGTCAGATACCTTCCGATCTTGCTTTAATATTCCAAAATATGTGTAAAGTTCCACGGCCTCATAAAAATGATGAATTTACAAAAATCCTGCCAAAAGAAGAAGAATACGAGTTTCCAAAATGTATGGGTTTTAATTTTGAAGCTAGTTTTTATTAATTTAATTTAATTTTATTTTAGCTTTATTTTTATTCATTTTGTAACTTGGTCTGGAATTGGAACCACATTTCAGCTCACAGTGCCATTGGTTGTGTTGCTACTGCCTTTCCACCTTGGGGAGCAAGCTGGTCTAGTGGTTAGAGCGTGGGACTGCAGTCCCTGAGGTCCCGGGTTCAAATCCTGCCAAATCACCAATGGATTTTTATCTAAGTGATAATGCCGCAACCCCTAGGTCAAAAAACATTTTTGTTAAGTGTCTAGAAAATTTTTTTTTTTAAAAACTGCCTCTCTGTTTAATACTACATATTTATTCATGAGATTGGCTCTTAAGTGCTGTGATGCTGCCATGATTCAAGATTCTGCCTGTTACCAGCTGCTAAACTCTTTTTAACATCACAAAAATATGTAAATATGACAAAATAACTGACTAAACATGAATTCAAGGTCCATGCTTGAGTGGGGAATCTGTTTGAAGCGTAATGAAAATCACTGTGATAATTTCTACAGGTTTGGCCTTGAAGATCTGTTTGTGAAGTACGGAGTGGACCTGGAGATCTGGGCTCATGAACACTCTTATGAGCGGCTGTGGCCTGTGTATAATCACAAGGTGTACAATGGTAGCTGGGAACATCCTTACACTAATCCTGGGGCTCCTGTGCACATAATCACCGGCTCTGCTGTAAGTATATCTGCAGTAAAAAAGTAAATAATTACAGTAACTATCAGCCACCCTCTGCCTCTAGTAAATTCTGACATATAATACTTTTGCCAACTACGCAAGAAAGATGAGTACCGCTTGTTTTAATATGTCAGTGACCCCTGTGAATATCCTTCTTTGAAATTTGCGTGATGCTCTGCTATTATTGGGGCTTACCGTTTATTTTTGATAATGGTTCTGGTTAAATTACCAGTTGGTAACAAAGCTATAATTTAGGGATGAACGAGATTGGATTTGTAGTTCGAGACGAGACGAGACGAGATTTTTTATTTCTCATAAGATTTTGAGACGAGATCGAGACGGGATTTCCCTTCTCATACACAAAGGGAAATGCACGTTCAAAATTTTTACCTGATTTTGTAACATTGTTAGATGACTGTTTAAATACAAAAATAATGATAATAGGCAAGAATATTTACAATCTTTTAATAAAAAACATCAGCATAACATATTTTTATTAATCACCCCTAACTTATTAAAAATGACTACGATTAGGAAATATAGTGATATCAGTTAGGATAGAGTTCAACTTATCCTAAAACAAAATAATTCATAAAATAAAAGCAATATTAATTTTTATGAAATAGTTACTTGTTTTGACTTTTTATAGTAATAAAACATTCCTCACACTGCTTACACTTAACCAAAACTTCTCAAATGTTATTAAGTAATATTATTACATGGTGTCTACTCTCCGGGAAATTCGGGAAAACCGGGAAAACTCCGGGAATTGTATCTTACCTTGAAATGTCCTGGAAAACTCCAGGAATCCACCCAAACCTCCGGGAATCCACAGCCCGGTCATCGGAATCGTCGGCTAACCAAACACTGCCGCTTTTGTTGCCGAAATCGCGGGAGACAATTATCGGTGTCGCCGAAACGGCAAGATATCCTCACGGGTATTGGCACGATCGCGGGAGACGATTAGCGGTGTCGCCGAAACCGCAGGATATGCTCACGGGTATTGCCGCGATCGTGGGAGACGATTATCGGTGTTGCCGAAACCGCGAGATATGGTCACGGGTATTGGCATGATCGCGGGAGACGATTATCGGTGTCGCCGATACCGCAAGATAGTCTCACGGGTATTGCCGCGATCGTGGGAGACGATTTTCGGTGTTGCCGAAACCGCGAGATATGGTCACGGGTATTGGCACGATCGCGGGAGACGATAATCGGTGTCGCCGAAACCGCAAGATATTCTCACGGGTATTGCCGCGATCGTGGGAGACGATTATCGGTGTCGCCGAAACCGCGAGATATGGTCACGGGTATTGGCACGATCGTGGGAGACGATTATCGGTGTTGCCGAAACCGCGAGATATGGTCACGGGTATTGGCACGATCGCGGGAGACGATTATCGGTGTCGCCGAAACCGCAGGATATGCTCACGGGTATTGCCGCGATCGCGGGAGACGATTATCGGTGTTGCCGAAACCGCAGGATATGCTCACGGGTATTGCCGCGATCGTGGGAGACGATTATCGGTGTCGCCGAAACCGCAGGATATGCTCACGGGTATTGCCGCGATCGTGGGAGACGATTATCGGTGTTGCCGAAACCACAGGATATGCTCACGGGTATTGCCACGATCGCGGGGGACGATTATCGGTGTTGCCGAAACCGCGAGATATGGTCACGGGTATTGGCACGATCGTGGGAGACGATTATCGGTGTTGCCGAAACCGCGAGATATGGTCACGGGTATTGGCACGATCGCGGGAGACGATTATCGGTGTCGCCGAAACCACAGGATATGCTCACGGGTATTGCCACGATCGCGGGAGACGATTATCGGTGTCGCTGAAATCATAAAATATGCAAACCTATTTTGCCGCGATCGATTGCCTGTGTTGACGAGACTGCAAGATATGCTCACCGGTATTCCCACGATCGCAGGAGATGATAGCTGGTGTCGCCTTACCTACTAGTTATACTGTTTTATTATGTTGTATAAAATATTTTCTTTGGAAAAGTTTTGTTTTAAATTAAAATAATCATAATAGTAATAATAAATTATTATTAGCGGGTTGCGATTAGTTGAACGGGTTCCGATAGTAGCTCTTAAAATTCAGGAATTTGTCTTGAATTCTCCTGGAAAACTCCTTGAATTTTTCAAACCAGGTTTAGTAGACACCATGTATTAAAATAATTAAAGTAATATTTACATTTAAAGAATTAATTAAATAAGAACGCCTTCGCAAAGGCAACGCAACTACAACACGCTCCTGTATTGCGGGTATTGAATTGACTTTCTGCAGGCTTTTTTATTTTTTATTCTTGTCTCAATAAAAATCTCGGCCAAAAAGAAATCTCGTCTCGTGTAACAAGATTTAAAATTTCCCGAAAATTTCCCGAAATTTCGAGACTTGACCATCACTACTATAATTTCATTCAACACTCATCCTCCACTCTTTATCACCATAAAATACACATCCTGGTATGTCAGCGCCATAGAAAACAAATTAAATCTAATATGCCCTTATTGGTAACAAATTAGTTTTCCCAATTGGCAGTACCTAGAATCACCTTTATTTACCTGAGTGAGCCAAACAAAAAAACCATAACAATATGTATTGTTATCTCTGCGTTGAATTATTTTTTAAGAGGTAGGGGACCTCTTTGTATTTGCCCAGGCATATGCATACAACCTGTCCAGCAAAGCAAGGGGTGAGCCGTTTCAGTGGAAAAATGAACTGGTTGAGACCAGTTCATTTTTCCACTGAAACGGAATCAAATTTAAAATCAATTTAATTTAATGAGTCAAGTTTAATGGCAACGCCAGGTACAACTCATGGCATCGCTGCCATTTATTGGTAGTCTTATCACGATACCGAATGAGACACTAACTCGCTAAATATATCTGATAAAAAACAAATGTAATGAAGGTTACTAAAATTTTAACTTGATTACAAAAGTTACTATGTTTCCGTTTTCAAGTAGGCTATTGTACCCCTACGGTTTGTTTACAGGGGTGTGATGAAAAGGTAGACCCTTTTATCAAGAATCCTCGGGAGTGGTCAGCCTTCAGATCCTCGGACTATGGTTACACTCGGCTGCAGATCCACAACTCTACTCATCTCTACATGGAGCAGGTCTCCGATGATCTGGTGAGTGTTTGACTATTGAAGTAGACATCTCATTTTCATCAGTAAGAATAAAAATTAACTGAGTTGTATTGAATCACTGATAAGAGTGTCATGATGTTTATTACTAACTAGCTGTACCCGCGGGCTTTGCCCCGTTTAACTTCATAAGTGAGCTCGTTTGCATGGCTCAATCACGTCCTGGTTGAAGTTCGTTCACTACGCTCACTCACTTTTAGGTTGGAGCTCGTTCGCTGCGCTCACTTGCCTTCAGGTTAGCTCGTTCGCTACGCTAACTCGCCTCCAGGTTGAAGTTCATTCGCTGCGCTCACTCACCTTTTGGTTGCAAATTAGCTGTTGTCATAAATGTAAAAGAAATAATAGTGCTGCACCCTGTTGGTAATCGTTGTAACTTAAAATGCTATTGAACATCATAGAATAGAACAAACTTGTTTAATTGAAACAGCTGTTGTTAAGATTCATTAATTCCATTTAAATATGAGTACTCATATGGTTAACATGGGAAACTCCAGAGCCACTGGGGCGGAGCCCGAGAGTCCGATCAGAATAAAAACAACTTAGTTTGCCTATTTAATGCCTAAAGAATCAGTGTACCAAATTTCAGCCTCCTAGGTAAATGGGAAGTGGGAGAATTAGTGATGAGTGAGTGAGTGAGTGAGTGAGTCAGTCAGTGAGGGCTTTGCCTTTTATATATATAGATTTGTGTTGAATATGCCTAATTGTAACCAAGCTAAATTAAATGCCAGCTCTTTATGAACTAGCATGATGTCCAACTTAACACTTAAATACTTTTCAATGAAATGGCGACCATACAAAGTAGGTATTTAAAGCCAAGTATGAATGGAGAGTGTAGGATGAGTGGCGCGATCTTGTAGTCTTGTTGGTGACTAAGGCCGACTTATTCCTTAGACACAGCTGTTAATTAATAGCCCATACAGCTAATGGCAACTAAGGGACCTACAGTTTATAGTGGAATCCGAACCACATTTTAGCCTTGGTGTTGGTATATACGAATTGGTCTAATTTTCTGGATAGTACTGCGGATATCTAGTACTCACTCGTGCGGACGTTTATCCACACCAGGGAGTATCGCATCCACAGTGCATGCCTATAAATATTCACAAAGTAACCTCCTAGTAGCTGGATTACAGGACAACGCCACCCGTCCTAATCTAACTAATCATAAGTACCCAAAAATAAGGGAAGAAATCAAATTTGACTGTAGTGCAATTTATTAGTGGCTCAACTATGTTTTATGCATATGAAAAAGCTGCTATAGCTAGAGAAAATATATGGGAAGTCTTATTCAGTATCAAAAAGTCAATGGTCTGATTATGTGAAACATTCTAAAAAGTAAAAAGCAATACAGTATTTTTGTTTTACAATTTAAAACATTAAATAAACAACATAACACGTAAGTAAAGTTTGATTTAGTTAGTTGTTTTTACTTATTTGCTCATTCTTGATATATGATTCTAGGATGGCGCAGTGATTGACTTCGTTTGGCTAATCAAAGAAAAGCACGGCCCTTATAAACTGGACATGAAACCGTAAACCTTCATAGTCATCATATGAACCTACTCTGTAATATACTCTATCATATTATGATCACTCTAGTTTACTAGAGTATGATTACACTAAGTGTGATAAAGAATACCTGTCGATGTAATTGTTTGCATTAATCAAAGTAGACATTCAAGTTCATTAAACGTATAGATAATGGATTATTTTGTATTGGTGATAGGACTTATTTTAAAGGTCAAGAATGTATTGCCAACAATTATTATGTGAAGCTTAAGTTTAAAGAATTTCTAAACCTATAAGAAAAGATGTACATTCCGCTTGCATTTAATCTTCTAAAATATTTGAAGAGAATATTTAAATATTAAACTTAATTTGTTCCTGTTTAAGTCATTGAATTCAGTTATTATTTGTTAAATATGTAATCTTTTGTGTACCGATGCTCAAATTTGTGAGTTATCAATGGTCAATGAGATAAAAACACTCTTTCCCCAAACTGGCACAATTCTTATGAAGGGTTAAACATAAAGAAGATGCCACTGCAGTACAAACAATTGAAACAATTGAGTGAGTTAGAGTTTTTTTCTAGTCTTGTAGCCAAATTGGATAGATTAACACACCCCAAAGCAACATTATAGCCCCTGGCAACACAATTGTTATGTTTTTATGTATGTACCATATATTTTTTAACAAATAAATCTCTGTAAATTTTGGTCTTGTTTCTATCTTACCATTTTTACCATGGGTTGTTTGAACTTTAAAAAAAAAAAAAAAAAAAAAACTTAATTTATAAGGTCCAGTGCATGGTGCGAAGCACAGGACCAAGCTACTTGAGCTGGTCAAGATGGTACCTTACACCATCTTCATTATCCAGGAGCTAAGGCAAAGATTCTGCTGTAGTGTTATCGTAAGTTAAATTAAAATATAGTTTTAATAAGACAAATACTTTATTAGGTAGCTTTTACAATAAATCAAGATTCAGAATGTTTACCAACAAAAACTAAACAAATAATATTCTAACACCATATCATGTGTTCTGAAGGACTGGTCTGCAGTGCTGGTTGAGAGTGATCAGAAGGCATAGTAGTGCTAAATCTTTGCAGTGATCTTCTGTTCCTCCGCAAACAACCATCTTGCGTTTGAATTATATAGGATCGAGGTGCAGGATGTTTGTTTAATATAGTTCCTTCTTGATTCCTGTCCTTCATATGGACTTGAGCTCCATCAGGTAGAGTAGGCAATTCTGTGGCTCTATGTCTTTTGTCAAAATAAATCTGTTGACGATTAATTCTTGCTTCTTCCTTTTCCCTTAACTTTTCAGTGTCTACCAGATAAGGTCTTAGTTGATCAGGCATTATTAGAACACAAGTGCGGATCCTTCTCCCGAAAAGTAATTCCGCTGGACTTTTTCCATTTTCTAGAGGGGTTGCTCTTAACATAAGTAGCATTTTGTAGGGATCATCACTTTTTTCTAAGTGGTACTTAAACATTTTTACTTGCGCTTCAATGAAACCATTGCTTTGTGGAAATTTTGGGCTTGATGTAATCAATTTAAATCCATAATCACGACCAAGTTGTTTGAATTGACAGCAGTCAAATTGAGAACCACAGTCTGCTCTCACTGTCTCAGGTACACCATGACGTGCGAAGATGGACTTTGTATATGTCACAATAGTGCCCATTTTTAAGTCATTTAGTCTAGCAATCTCCATAAACCTGGAATAATAGTCTGAGATTAAGAGATACCAGTGACCTTTGCACTTCAGCAAATCGGCACCCACTATTTGCCAAGGTCTGTCCGGATAAGGCGTTGGTATCAGCGGCTCTGCTCTCGTAGCGCGATTTTCTGCACATATCTTGCAATTTTCTACTAGTTCTTTGATTTGTTGAGAAATACGAGGCCACCACACAGTCAATTTTGCAAAAGATCTACATTTTGTTATGCCTTGATGTCCTTCATGAATACTTCTTAGTACATTAGCTCTTAGAGAATTTGGTATTATAATACGACTTCCAAAGAGAAGTATACCATTTTGCTCACTTATGTCTTCTCTACGATACCAGTAGGGCAATACGTCCTCTGGAATCTTAGATTTTTCTGGCCAACCTTTCACAGAATACTGAGACACATGTTTTAGAGTTTCATCTTTCATAGTTTCTTGATTTATTTCTCGCAACCTTTCATCTGAAACTGATGGTAGAGTAGTGTCAATATTTTGTATATATATATGCAAGGATTTCCTCTGTAAGTTCCCATTCCTCTTCAGAGTTCTCTGTGTCTCGAGACAGTGCATCAGCCAAAATGAACTGTTTACCGGGCATGTAGGTAATGTCATATGTATATCTCATCAGTCGGAGTCGTATTCTTTGAAGCCTGGGAGTAATATTGTCCAAGTCTTTCATCTTGAATATGGAGAGCAAGGGCTTATGGTCTGTCTCAATATGAAAATGCAACCCTAAAATGAGGTGTTCAAATCGTTCACACCCCCATGCAATCGCTAGAGCTTCTTTTTCTATTTGAGCCCAATTATGTTCGGCTGATGACAAACTTCTCGAAGCATAGGCCACAGGACGTTTAGTTCCATCTTCTTGAAGCTGAAGTAGTGCAACTCCAATACCGTATGACGAGGAATCCGCTGAGAGGCAGGTTTCTTTAGACATGCTGTATAAAGCGAGACACGGTTCGGACATCAATGACAGTTTAATCTTTTCCAAAGCTTGGTCTTGATCAGGCCCCCAAACAAATTCTGTATTTCTTTGCAGTAAAGCATGTAGTGGATGAGCTATGGTCGACAAATTATGAATAAACTTCAAATCAAATCATCTTTATTCAAGCTGTAAATACATACATGAATAGAGTCACAGAAATAAGAACTAACAAGTACATTATGTTTCTTATTTTTACATCATTTTACGTATTTACATACATTGCTAAATCTATGCAATACAATCCTTTATTAATGCTGTGTATTTATGAATGTAGTTTAAACATTTTTTACTCTTTTGGTTGATTAGGCCTACATAACAAAAGGCTAAAGACAAATTTATTAAATTCGCTCATCAGTCACCAGATCTTGCAATTTGTATTTTTTTTTTCTTTATCATTGAAATCATTTATGTAAATATTTACCTACAACCAGCTCTAGTCATGCTGGTAGCAAATAAGCTTGATTATTGGATGGATTAATAGAGCTATAAAAAGAAATCTTCTATAGAATAACAAGTTTTATCTTGGAGATATTTTCTTACTAATTTCCTAAATCCCTTTGTGTGTATATTAGTTTTCAGATTTGATGGTAATTTATTAAGAAATTTACATCCGATTTGTGTTGCTTTCTTTGAGAAAAAAGTGAGGTTATGCCGGGGTATATCTATTTGATCTCTATTTCTTGTGTTATATATGTTTATATCTTTGCGAAACACATACTTATGAATGTTATTTTTGGCAGAGATAATGCATTCTAAAATACTAGTGTACCTGTTGCTCGAAATCGAGCAATTGTCAAGTACCGTTATTATACAAAAGTGTTTTTTTTTTTTTTAACTACAGTAATAACAGTCATAATTATCGATGAGTTTAAAAGACCCAAAAACTTAAAATGCTTATGTAACTAATTGAAATACTTGCGCTATTTAATAACGCTTTGGAATAATAAATATTTGAGCATTTTTTGGACCCGGCCTTTGTTGACCCGGTTTTTGTGTTTTCTACAAATGTTTCCCGACTTAAAGCTGTTACCAGTAAAAATGTCTTGCATGTATTTATTTGATATGACTTTAGGCGGGTTTACTTTACCACTGTGACAACATGATGTGTATATTCTTCATGGCTTTTTTTCTTCCAAAATAAGTTGCTTAGCATAACTGGCATAAATGATTCATCTCCCCAAGTGATTGTGTACCTGGATTCCTTACTGTGAGACCATGCCTCTCCTCTACTCTTCTCATAAGTATAAGCTTTCCTATTAATTGTCTCCTCCTCCTGTTTTCAATATTTCTCCTTTAAATTCAAGAAATATTCTGTTCTTCCAACACAACTTATTAACTGCTTGGATTTGTTTATAACCTCCTAAATATTACAAACATCAATATTTACTCCCAGAAAGCTGGTGAGTTTATTTTTATTTACAGCTGTTTTTGTTTTAAAATTTGTTTTCAATGTAATTCTTATGGGGGGAAATGCGACCTTTGAGAGCGTCTCGTGCCCTTAAGGGTAAGACATTTTAAATTCTAAAACCTTTATGCAAAACTACTGATTTATTAGAAAACATTCAGTATTTAGGCTACTGCATTTTATAAACCAAACTCGAATCTTGCTACCTTGGCCTGTTTACCTGTTTGGTACCTGGTAAAACTTATCAGATTGCATAAGTGAATTATTAGCAATACAATGATGGTTTATCTCGTGATATCGAGAATATGTAATTCTGACCGCTAAATTGAAACCCTTAAAAGGTGGGTCTGGGTCTAAAGATATTTCCAAACGAAACGTAAATCATCATTATGTCCCAACAGTTTATCATGTGTATCCCAGTCACACCAACTACATTATATTCTATTAACACGTTGGGTGCTGATGACGGGAATTCCCGCAATTGCTTAACATTGAAATAAATGCAACTTTTATGTTCAAACATGTCGACCGCACGAATAGTGTTAATATAATGATCGACATTAATTTTGCAAGAAGATTCAATATTTTAATATGAGTGTCCTTAGTTTCTTGTTTAAGCTGTCAACCTTTATAAGGAATATAGAATCATTTTTATTAGTATCCCAATTTTGCTGATTTATAGTCCACTTACTATATTCTCGTCTGTTAACAATTTTTAGAAAATTAATAAGCTGTAAAAACTAAGGTAATATAGTAAATTAATGATGTACAGTTTAACACATGAGCAATGGTTGTGTAAGCTTCTAACTTAAAGCAGTAATAAGAATTTTAGATACGTCCATTGACTTTAAATACATCAAAATATTTATCATCCTATATTGTAACATCATATATCTTATATCATATATCTTGGTTTGATGTTTCATGTCAGCTAACGCTTCACAGCGTTGATGTGTTGGCTGAATATTGCCCTCGTATTTTAGGACAAATGTTACAATGCGATTAAACTTTGGGTTTAGTGACAGAACAAAAGCAGTGGTTTATAAATGTTCTATTTTGTGTTACTAAATATAAAATACTCCCGGCGCAGCAAACCTGCAGACTAACTGAATTCCCAACTGACTTGTTGGATTTTTAAAAAATTATTTCCTCAATTGTCATATTTATTCAGGGGTGCCCACAGGGGGGTTTGATGTCGCAAAATGCGACATCAGAAATTTATTTGGGGGGGATTTTATGATTTTGGGGGGGATTCAAGCCAGTGGTTGGTTAAAAGCACATAAAAGATTAATAAGATAATTTTTACGACCTCCTTAATTTATTACTGGGGTAATTATGCAATCAAAATCCCGTTTGACATTTTATCTTGATTAATAAATCATTTTATAATTGCTATAAAATATATAGATACTTTTATGTGTACTTCCACTTTCTGACTCGTATCATGTTTGACAGTGAGAACAATTCCATGCCAACTACACCAAAGGATTATGGTTGGCTTATTAAATTGTATCCGCAATTTGAGTTTGTTTTTACCTTTCATTATGAACTCATTCTCAAACAGTCCCATTGCCTTGAGGACCTATTGATGGTTTTTTAGGTTTGTTTATTATAATATATACTTGATTCATAAAAAACCAGTATTATGATAATGATAATCATTTTGCTATTTTTACAACATGAACAACAACATGAAAGCTTGTGATAATATTTTGGCTCTCCCAAATAATTATGCCTGGGTCATTTATTCATTGGAAGAAATTGACATACAGTACTGTGACAATTTAATTAAGGTTTTTGATAGGCTATGTGTTTACGATAACTTCAAGAACTGAAACACACGATTCTGGATTAATTAAATTGTATTTGTTATTGTCTTTTCTTGAATCTAGAAAGAGCTTCAAACAAATTTTACTAGTCTTAGAATAGATATATAATTATTTTTTACGCGACACTACACTATTTTGACGAACTTCCCATGCAAGGATTTAGTCCAGAAAACAGCTGTTTGTCGCCAGCTTAATCAAATGGGGTTTCATACAGTACTACTGTACTGGAGTTTTGCCGGACACCAATCAGCTGATTATACTGTATTTGGGTGGCAATGAGTGGTTATAACAAAAACATAACCTCTCTTAGAGGTTATGACTTTTTAGTCCTTTAGTTGGTGGTAATATATAGGGATTTGAACGGATTTAGTAGTATGGCGTAAACTATCGTACGTCACTCGTCCAAAATGTGTTGGCCGGACTCGTATAAAAAAACCACTACTCGACTTTGTCTCGCACGGGATTCATGACTAATATACTAACGTAATATACTATTTTACCACACTATGATGTTTTTAACTGTTTTACATATAGGTACATTAATTGGTGGCTGAAAGTTACGTTTTGCAGGCCATGCCAGCTGTCATCGTCATTCGGGGATCGAGCAGGTTTTTACATCCCTAGGGCCGCAAAATCAGCTGCCCGCTTACTTTCTTAAAACATGAATGCATATTAAATACACAATCAGTATCCATAGCATTGCAATAGAGTTGTTTTACTGTCACCGCAGCCTAGCAACTATTTATTATAATTTTTGCTGATTCCTCAAACTATTTATCCACATGACCTTAAAGTTGTAGTTGTGTTGACTATATCAGTGTGCAGTGCATTATCATTGAGGTGAATTAGTGGTAACAGGGTATAGTGTGGTGAATAATAGCGTTCGTACCACGGAGTGAAATGGTTTTGCAGTTCTCGATCGTTTTAAGTCCTCGACATCGTATCGAACTTAAAAACTATCTCGAACCAGCAAAACCTCATTTTTGGCCCTAGGCACGAAATATACTATTAAGTTTAGGCCTAGTAATATTTTTGAGACTGAAAATTTTACACTTATTTAAAAAGGACCAAACTCAGAAGTGGATTAAAGGGCAATTTAGAAAATATCTCAAACCTTTTGACATAACTTTAAGTACTTTCTCCCCTACAATTTAATATGGTAAAAGAATTGTTTATGTAAAAACCCTGATCCCAAAAAAGTGGTTTTCGA